TTATTTGTACACCTGCTTTCTCAACCAATTTATTTTTTCTGCTTCCTCTATCAATTTACCTTCTGTTGCTGCTCTTTCCTTACCTCTTTGTTCTGTTCTTTTAGCATTTAGATAATCCCTGACATCCCCTTTCAGCCGGTCAGTCATGGAGACATCAACAATTGGCAGATTACTCTCCACTGGTGCACCAGTTTGGTCCATCTCCTCTACAACTTGACTCTTCATTAATCGACACGATTTTTCCCTGTGCCCTTGATGCTTGCAGTACGTGCAATAACTTGGAAGATTGTCATATACAACTTCTTGATACAACACGACTGTTTTACCAGTAACTCTGTCCACCATCAGAATTTTCACCTTTTTAGGGTGTTTGTCCAGGAGATCAAGAATGATCTTCACCCTTGCAGCGCTAGGCCTTGTTCGATCCTGCGTTGCCTTGTCGACAGCAAGAGGTTTACCCACAGCTGATGCAATAGACATCAGTGACCTCTTAGCAAAAAAATTAGGCGGCAATCCTGGAAACGAAATCCACACCATTGCCATAGATGTTTCCTCTTTAGGATTGAAATCCAACGTCCATGGGAAGGTTCTGAAAAGAAATTCATCCCCTTTTGCTCTATATGCTGTTATGTCTGCGTACTTGAGATGTTTTTTTTTTATTAGTTTTCCTGTGGCGTAATTGTGATTGAAATTTCATCCCTTTGCCTTGAATTTTATTTTAGTTGTAGAGGTCAATGCTCTTCTCAGTTTGCTTAGCATCTTCTATAAAGAATCTGCTCTTACTTATAAATTGAGTATGTTGTTTATCTTTGCCTAACTCTTGAACAGAACTGAACCAGGATCTCTTAAGTTAATTTTGAACATTTAGTTAATTTTGCCAATATGCTACTTGTAGAGATATTTTCTTTAGTACGTGCATCTGCTAATTTTGTTCATTATATATTTTTTTTACAATGACAGGAGCAAAGAACTTCAACAATGAAGAAATGAAGTTGCAGTAGAGCAGTTTACAAACATTGGAGTAGTTTGAAGTTTTTGGAGTATTTTAAAGAAATTTTATTCTTTTTATTGAGGATGTGCAATGACAATGTTACTTTAATTTAGATTGTTTACACTTTTACCAATGAAAAGATTATATACAATTCTATTTCGTGAAATGTATTGTTACCACTATAAATAGGTTGTTTTATTATTGTTCGACTACTAGTATGAATCTATTATAGTTTTATATAAATATTTTTTAAAACAGGATTTTTATTGTAGCGACTATTGTTGTCACGAAAATAATAGTATTGTAGCGATATTTTTCCGTCACAAAAAGGTTAGCTTTGGTAACAATCCCCTGTTGCCACAAAAAGTAAGTGAATATTAGTGACGATAAAAGTTGACACAAAAAGGCGAGGAATTTGGGGCGACTAATGTTGTCACGAAAGATAAACCTTTTGTGGCAACAATGATTAGCCACCAAAGAAGACTATTCAGTGGGGACTAACGTCTCTTGAAGGTGTATTTTGTGTCAATCTTAGCTAACTTTTGTCGCGACGATTGAGTATCAGCCACTCACAATAGCCAACGACTATAGGCTCACCACTGATGGTCTTCTGTGGCGACTTTTGCACTATCAGTGGCGACTTTTGTCGCCACAATAGACCTCTTTTCTTGTAGTGGTTTCACGTGCTAAAGTATCAATATCTGAATCCGCACGGACAACTCACGTGCTGCACGAACAACTCACGTGCTATAGTATCAATATCTAGATCAACACGGACAACTCACGTGCTATAGTATCAATATCTGGATTCGTACGGACAACTCACATGCTAAACGGACAAATCACGTGTTATAGTATCAATATCTTCACAATCAGGCCCTCGGCCTCACTTAGTCATCAATCTCTCCAGTCTCTCGGGTTCAAAACACTCATGCTAAGCAGCCCAAGTCAATGATACGAGATTCGACAATATACAATAACAGAGACTAAGATATGATATGTAATGATGAATATGACTGAGTACACACTACAAAAAAATAGCATTTAACGACGATCCAAATCCGTCGCTAAGCAGGATTAGCGACGGATTAGCATTTGTTGCTGATTTGCTCATTGCTAAGCTCTTTGCGACGGAAAAATGGAATTTGTCGCAATATTAGCAATGTTCTAGCGACGAACAGTGTCCGTTGCTACAAGTAGTGACAGAATTTCCGTTGCTATATTAGAAAATTATGTCGCCGAATTCACAATGCATTTCGTTGTTGGCATACTTTTGCGACAGAAAGTCGGTCGCTAATCCGTCGCCAATATTTTGAGACTCATTTCAGCTTTTCATTTGGCGACCAAAATCGTCTGTTGCAATCTGTCGCAATGTTATTTTATATATTTATTTTTGTTAAAAAAATATCCGTCGCAATCTGTCGCAATATTTTTTCCTTTTAGATCTTTTTTATCGAATATTTTAAATTTTCTCTGCTCATGCACTTTGTATGTAAATTATTACATAACCTTAATAATAACTAAAATTCATACAAATTAACATACTTCAAGGTCCAAAATGATATCAAAATGCATATAGCTAATACAATTAAGTTCGAATTATACCTAACACCAATAATAAAGTTCAAACCAAAAAGGTGCGAAGTATCCCTAACACCAACAATAAAGTTCAAAACAAAAAGCTTCCAAACCAAAAAGGTGCGAATTATCCCTAACACCAATAATAAAGTTCAAAACAAAAAGCTTCCAAATACGAGGCTTAGGGGTTAAGGTCATCATCTGAAACCGATGGATGAACCCCATGAACAGTAGCAGTAGGAGGAGCATGAACTGTTGTACCACATCTGATGGGTGGTCAGTAGAAGTCAGTGAGGATGACGAAATCATTTCACGCACTCGCTCAGTCAATACTGGAAGCATATGATCAGTTAACACAAGAACTATGTGCTCTGTTAGTGCAAGAATCAAATGCATCACTAACTCATCCAGGTTCGATGCTGATTGAGCACTCGAAGGTGGTATTGATGATGAAGCATCTGATCCAGAAGAGCCACGAAGATTCGGTCCATAGTAGCATTTTGCTTGAGATTCAAGACCATATACTCTTCTCTTCTTTTCCCCTCCCGCGGCTTCGTAATACGCTTTTCATTGATCAATATCAGATTGAGTTTGTGTTTGTTCCTGTAATATTTCCTGATACCTTTCCTGTAAAAGAGGTGTAATAAGTAGTGAAATTAAAACAGTTAAGAATGTTGAGCATTTAATTAACCAACAGAGAGGATACTTTTCATACTCTTTTTACATTGTAGTAAATAAGATTATAAAATATTGGACTTACATGCACGATTCGAGCTTTCTCATCAAGAAAAGATTTCCATCATGCCCATGTGTATGGACGTACAAATGTAACTCACTTGGTGTTGGGTCTTGACCCTTTTCAACAGTCTATACAAAAAAAAATTATTTTTAAAAGGATGAAAATATTACTATAGTAGAACCAGAAGTTTTGTCACATCTAAAACTAAAACCAGAGCCCTCAATAATTTTAGCTAGGTCTATGAATCAGATCTCAAAACTCAAATATGATTGATATTGTTCCTATTTGAGCATCAAATTATCCAAAACGCAAAGATGACTAATATTCTTCTTATCTGAGTGCCAATTTGTTTTTTGGTTACTGGGGTTTAAGATATACATTAGCTATTCTCATGACGGACAAACAATAAAGCTTTCAAAGGTATACTAATTTCTCCAAAATCCATGTTTTCCAGGTCTTAAGATTCAATACGTAAATTTATAGTTAACTCCATCTACGAAAATACACGTCACTGTACAAAGACAAATTGAGTAAAGTAAGGTTCTTCAATCTCCTAAATATACAAATTCCAAGATCAGAGGCCTATAAACCCGTATAAACATGTCTAAAAGTCTAAGCTATGGTCACAATTGACACTTCCATTAATCATAAGAAACAATTAGTCCAGAGCTTAAGGAGGAAGGTTATCTTAAAAAAACAGCAACCACTAAAGATCTGTGCACGTTAGATAAGAACATAACATCATGGAAGCAAAGGTTCCACATACGCAATACGAATTACTTGAGATTAAAGATTAGTCATTGTTGTTACACTTACATGAGGTCTTGTGTTTATCAGGAATAAAGCTGTCCGTCATGGGGTTTAAGATATTGTTTGTCCATCATGAGCACAGCTAATGTATATCTTAAACCCCAGCCATGTGTTTAAGGAACATGAAACAGATACTGTTTCATGAAACAATAAATCTGTCCGTCATGGGGTTTAAGATATTGTTGGTCCGTCATGAGTACAACTAATGTATATCTTAAACCCCAGCCATGTGTTTAAGGAACATGAAACAGATACTGAACTGAACAATTACTCTATAGCCTCACATGCACAATTTGTACTTAAAAGTGTCGATTATAAACAGAAGAGAAAGAGAAATCAAGAAAATACACGGCCAATAGAAAAGGAGAAAAGAACTGAAATGTGCAGAGAGACCAATTCACAAGTAGCTTTTACGGGAAAACAACCAAAGTAATCCTTAGACACAAATAACGACCTTATTTGAAAACGCTGCTTACAGAAGTTCAAGCTCTTAAGGCATGTAATGAAAGAAGACAGAAGGACAAGAGGAGTTGAGAAAGCATTTTAGATTTTCGTCGCTGAGGCAGTTTTCTGAAGTTGGAGACTTACATTTCTTTTTCTGCTGATTTTTCCCCCCAATGGGGGCTAACACAAATCCCCAGTGATGACTTGATAAACATTGAGATGATTAAGACTTTAAAATATAAGACATGTCCATTCTCTTTTTGCGTTGGATGTTCATTACACCTTTACACTATTAGGTTCGAATAGTGCGAATATCCTGGCAAGATAATACTGCACAGTGTGTGTACACACATTCTGACAGATTAGCTAGTGTAACTTTATTCTCGTGCACTCCATAGTATATTAGTATTTGATTAAAGCATGCAACCTACATGTATTTGTTTTACCTTTAGCATGTTATCGACAAGAATGCAACCTCAACACCTATTTTTATTGGTTAGTCCGGACTCCAGACAAATTAAGAAGCATGTGTAGTTGTAGTATGTTTAAATCTCACTCGATCATAGGTTTTAGGCAGCAAACTTCACTTCATTTTTAATTTGCACAGACTAAGTATCTTGTCTGGCTTTTGAACAGATTTAATTCCCTGTGTTCTCATGTCAGATTCAAAATCCAGGGAACTTGAACAATGTCCAAACAATACAGACAATTACTTATGAATTCACTTGATATAGATGAACAAATTGAGGTAGATTTTAATGCTAGAACAATCGCACGACAGTACATCATCTGAGACTGAAATCAGTACCTGGATCAGCGAGACACAAGGCCAAAACAACTAAATACAAGCAGGAGGAAACAGCAAGGTAGGAGTTCAACTACAACCTTACCTAGAACCCAGAAATGCAAGAGCAAAACTACAACTGATGAATCATTTTTAATGTAAAATCATTTTCTTCTTTTATTGTTGTTCGTCTGACAGTGCCAACTATAACAACTAACAAAGGGAACATTTTTCACTGGCAAAACTTTGGTACATTTTGATTCCTTTTGGACGATATGAAAGCTAAGGTTACTATAAGCAATTCTTGACACCAACAAGAAGAAATTTTAAGTTCAGAGTTGCAATAAAGCTAAGGTTGCAATATACTTACAAGTCTCTTGCGATACTTCCCAACGGACACAGAGCTGCCTGTGTGAGTCCCGGTGGAGACTCCACTCCTACCGCCACGACGATTCTTCGCATTTATTTCTGACTTTTCAATACACTTGGGATCTTTCTAAAGTTGTTCCCAACTTTCCCACACTTATACTACTAGAATCCCTGTAAAAAGCGACCAAAGATTAGCGACCAAATTTGGTCTGTCAAAAAAAGCGACCAAAGTTGGTCGCCAAACTGCCGAAAATAATAAAAAAAATATTTGAAATACTTTAGCGACCAAAGTTGGACGCTATTTGGTCGCAAATTTAGTCAAACTGTTGACTGGACTGGTCAGACTTGTTTGGTCAAAGATATACTGAGATTAGCGACCAATGTTGGTCGCTTAAGCGGGACCCACATAAATTTTTTTAATAATTTTATTATTATTTCATAAAACTTATAAAATATAAATATATATAATTTAAAACTTGCGACCAAGTAGGTCGCTAACTGAAGGATAAGTTGATAGCGACCAACATTGGTCGCTAAAGCGGGACCCAGTTATTATATTTTAATAAATATATATTTATTTAAAATAAATTATAAAATATAAATAAATATAATTCAAAAGTTAGCGATCAAAGTTGGTCGCTTAATTAATAGAGACCAATGTTGGTCGCAAATGTGGGACCCAGTTCTAACATTTAATAATTTTTATTATTAATTTAAATATTATATAAAATATAAATAAATCTGATTAAAATTTAGTGACCAAACTTGGTCGCTAAATTAAATTCATGTACAGTAGTGACCAACTTTGGTCGCTAAATTAAATTTATTTACAGTTAGCGACCAAGTTGTCTCTATATGGTCAAAATTAAAAATCACTTTTGTATTTATTATGTAAATAAAATAAATATAAGTCGTTAATACTTTTGTAATACAAGGGATGAATAGTACTACGAAGTGGGCGTGTGTGTCTATATATATAATATATATATACTTACGCTATATTATGCACTAAGTATAAGTGTATTAGGTAATAGCGTNTGCTATATGATTTGTTAAATATTATATACGTTTTTGACGCGCGAGAGTTCTTGCAAAAATTCCAATAAAGGGTGAGGGAGATACAAATCTTTACTTGTAGATTTGAAAACTAAGCATAGTAGTAAAATTCCTATTGTCATTCCAGATGACATTGAGAGAGCTGTAGGTCCCGGGTCTAGGGAAATTGTTAACTATTGTGGTTTGATTATGCGCAGCACTATCTCATTCAGAGATGGTGATTGGCAAGAAATAATCACAAAACATGGAGATGCTATGTGGTTGAAGGTTAAGGTAATAATTTGTTAGTAAAGGTTCTATCGACTTTTTATCACACGTTTTATTTACTCTCAAAAGCTTTTCGTATATGCATTTAGGATAAATTTGAAGCTACCGGAGTTCGAGAGCATGTATTGCAAGCTCTTGTGGTCAATACTATGAAAAGACTTTTTAGAACATGGAAGACTCGATTGCATGCTGAATACTCTCGCTATGCTACTGATGAAGAGAGATTATCCCATAGGCCAAGTGATGTTACACCTGAGGATTGGGTGTTTCTGGTAGGACATTTTGGAAGTCCGAAATTCAAGGTAACTTGGTAATATAAATATGTGACAAATTACTATTTCAATTCTGGTTCTTAATTTATGGAGATAATTTCAGGCTGTGAGTGAGCGAAACAAAATAAACAGGGAAAACAAATCACTAAACACTCATGTGGCTCAAAGTCATTCGCTGAAGTGGAGGAATCAACGGTACAAATTCATTTAGCACAATAATATTTCATATATTTGAACCTTTGGTCTACTTTAATTAAATTATGAAATAAAATAGTTTTCCTCTACTTTAATAAATCGTAGAGAAATCCTGTTAATGGACAAAAGGCACCACCGGATCGAGTTTGGGAGCTCCAACATACTCGTAAGAATGACAAAGATGAACTGGTGTGGTCAGATCCACAGTCGCAGCAAATTCATGAAATCTCCTGAAATTGTGTTTTATTTATTTTATTTTATGTCTCCTATTTTATATCATAAATTGTTATGCATAATTGCAGGGGCAGCTCCAAGAAATTGTGGAGTAACAACAATTTGAAGAAAATCCGATGAATGCAGATGAGATTTTAGTCATCGTACTTGGCGAACGAACTGGCTATGTTCGTGGGAAAGGGTACGGAAAAAGACCTGCAAAAAAGAGCCGAGTGCAGCAGGTTGAATTAGAAGCAAGTATGTCTTCTGCAATGGAATGTATGCGTCAAGATATGCAAGCTGAAATGGACAGAAAATTACAAGAAGAACGTGAACAAGCTGCTGAGTTGCAAAGAAAGTTAGAAGAACAAATGGCTGCTGAATCACGGAAGCTAGAAGATGATCGTTTTGAGTTACAAAGAAAGCTAGAAGAAGATCGTGCTGAGTTGCAAAAGAAACTAGAAGAGGAGCGCGCACACATGAATCTACAACTTGACAAAAGATTTAAAGAGCAGATGGCTACGATGATGGCTAGAATTCAAAAGCTAAATGCTAATGTTTCTATACTCTACAAATGTACTATACAACTGTTGCCATATTGGCTGTTTCTTCTGACAATTCTTGACCCTGAGATGATTGTGATTGTTGATTGATGCATCCTATTGTGTGTTGAGAATCTGCATTTTCTTGTTGTCCCCCTGTCGTAGGCCGTATTCTGACACTTAAGACCTGGTGATATTGACTGCAATCCATTTGTGTTATGTGTAGTAGTAAATGTGTACACTGATCCTTTGCTTATTATTGTGCTACTTGTATCCAATGATAGCTCCTCTGTTGTATACTGGTGCTGCACTACAGAAATGTGCCTAAAGTGAGACAAGAAGTCTCGATTGATGTATATGCCTAGTGCATTCCCAGATTGCACTACTGTCATGCTCATGCTTGCCATCTTTCCTTCTTCAAGGGTATGAGTAGCATGTACTAATACCACCCATAGAAGTCGTATTGAATGGCAAGTCATGAGTAAATAGATGGTACCTGCAAAAAAGAGAACTATGTTAGTAGAAAAATTACACCAACACCATCTCCTCCTGATGGATTTGATAGTGTTGATGTTGCTAGCAAGCCTCATTCTCAATTCCTTTTCCTTTAACTCATCTGCCTCCTTACTTCTTATTTCTTTTCTCCTCCAGCTACAACTTCCTTTACCATCCAAACCACCTTGCCCATTTCGGTTAAACATTCTGGGCAAACTCCCTTTTATTGCTGCTACACTTAGTCTGCAGCAGCTACTACTGCATATGAGAAGCAGACTGTCCTGCTTTGCTTCAGATATTATACCAGCAGTCCTATAATCCAATAATGCCTGACTCCCTGTACCCCTTGTACACTCCTTACCTTCCCCTGTATCACATACTCCCAATTGCCCAATTCGTTTATACATTCTGGGCAAAGCATCACCTATTACTTCATTTTTCCACTCAAACCTGATGCTGCAGAATGAATTTTGTAGCAGAGTGCCCTGCATACTTTGACCATCCCCTGACTCCTTTGCTCCATATTTCCCAATTCTATTAAACATTCTGGGACCACAATCTCCAGCTGTTCTTCTGATTTTCCAATAGCAGCAGATGCAGAAGCCTAATTTAATTATCAATGTGTCCTGCTTTGTATGAACACCTATGCCTACCCTTAACTTCCTTTCAATGGATTGAGTGTAAAACACTAATACCACCATTCGAATATCCATCAAAAGGCAAGACATAGGTGCCGAAAATTGACCTGCAAAACAGAAAACCTTGTTAGATAGAACCAGCACCGCCATGATTCAGCTATTGAAGCCCAATGGAATTGGTTTTTTTTAAAAGTGTCAAAGTATGTGGCATCGCTAGTAAGCGCGTTTTGATTTCCATATTATTACTCTGCTCATCTCGATCTAGCATGAAATACATGTTAATGAAAACTGATACAATCAATTGACGAGCATATTTTAACTTGTACTTTTAGTTTTCCCGTGGCGTAATTGTGATTCAAATTTTATCCCGTTGCCTTGAATTTTATTTTAGTTGTAGAGGTCAATGCTCTTCTCAGTTTGCTTAGCATCTTCTATAAAGAATCTGCTCTTACTTATAAATTGAGTATATGTTGTTTATCTTTGCCTAACTCTTGAACAGAACTGAACCAGGATCTCTTAAGTTAATTTTGAACATTTAGTTAATTTTGCCGATATGCTACTTGTAGAGATATTTTCTTTAGTACGTGCATCTGCTAATTTTGTTTATTATATATTTTTTTTTTACAATGACAGGAACAAAGAACTTCAACAATGAAGAAATGAAGTTGCAGTAGAGCAGTTTACAAACATTGAAGTAGTTTGAAGTTTTTGGAGTATTTTAAAGAAATTTTATTCTTTTTATTGAGGATGTGCAATGACAATGTTACTTTAATTTAGATTGTTTACACTTTTCCCAATGAAAAGATTATATACAATTCAATTTCGTGAAATGTATTGTTACCACTATAAATAGGTTATTTTATTATTGTTCGACTACTAGTATGAATCTATTATAGTTTTATATAAATATTTTTTAAAACAGGAAATTTTTATTGTAGCGACTATTGTTGTCACGAAAATAATAGTATTGTAGCGATATTTTGCCGTCACAAAAAGGTTAGTTTTGGTAACAATCCCCTGTTGCCACAAAAAGTAAGTGAATATTAGTGACGATAAAAGTTGACACAAAAAGGCGAGGAATTTGGGGCGACTAATGTTGTCACAAAAGATAAACCTTTTGTGGCAACAATGATTCGCCACCAAAAAGAAGACTATTCAGTGGCGACTAACGTCTTGAAGGTGTATTTTGTGTCAATCTTAGTTAACTTTTGTGGCGATTAATGTTGCCACTGAAAGCATATCTTTTGTGTCAACCAATTTAGCTGCGACGATTGAGTATCAGCCACTCACTATAGCCAACGACTATAGGCTCACCACTGATGGTATTCTGTGGCGACTTTTGCACTTTCAGTGGCGACTTTCGTCGCCACATAGACCTCTTTTCTTGTAGTGTAAACAAGCGAACTAATTTGACCCAAAAATAATAAAAAATTAAGATTAAAAGTAAGACT